AGTCTTGTAAATATCGTTGAAAAAAAAACATCGAAATAAAAAGTTGCTGAAGAATCTAAACAAAAATTTCGTTTGTTACCCTATCAATATCATCTTCAGATTAATGGTAGTTTAATACCAACATATAAGTCGTGCTTTCAAGACTTTTAGTGAAAGCAGTAAATTTATTACCAACACTTTACTCCAAAAGGGCACTTCTAGTTCTGGAATAACACACGACGATAATAGAGGATCCCATAAGCCATGGCATACATTATCCGATGAAGTTACTCAAGCTGTTAAACATCACATTTTGTCTTTGTCTGCGTACGAAAGTCACTATTTTAGAAACCTAACAAGCCAAAAGTATCTTCCACCACACTATACAGTTGCAAAGATTTATGAAGAATATCTTAAGTAAGAGTCCAAATGCCAACCTATAAGCAGAAAGGTTTACGAGAACATTTTTCACAGCATGAAAATAGCTATCAAGGCCCCAAAAAAGGATACGTCATGTCAAACATGTGACCAACTGCATATAAAAATTAAAACAGATGCTGAAAACAAAGACGAATTATGTAAACAACTAGCCATTCATCAAGCCGAAGCAGACTACGCATACAAATCGAAAGCAAATGGCAAAATAAACAATAAGGACAACACCTCTACAAAAGTGTATACCTTTGATATGCAGAAGTGTCTACCCACACCTAATCTAGTTACATCCGTTGCGTTTTATAAAAGACAACTGTGGACCTTTAATCTCAATGTTTATGATTGTATTACCGCACAATCTTTTAATCATTTGTGGCACGAAGTAATTTCCGGAAAAGTTGCAAATCAAATTGGTTCATGCTTGTATAAGCATCTTATTGACCTTCCTATGGATATTACTCACGTTATATTGTACTCTAATTCCGAATAATCAGTTTATTGAGCCAGGTCCTAAAACTCTTCTTAAAGATAATTCACACAAGAATATACAACAGATGTGAAAGAGATATTAGCTCCACACAGTTCGGTTTCAGACAAGGATTTGGCACAAGGGAAGCACTTTATAGGTTAACCGTCCTACTTCAGAAATGCAGAGATCAGTAAAAATATGTATTCCTATGCTTTATAGATTACCAGAAAGCGTTAGATTATGTTAATCATTCAGAATTATTAAGATTGCTCCAGGAACGTTCGATAGATGAGAATGAGAATGACCTTAAAACCATTAAAAACCTTTATATGAATCAAGTGGCATCTGTGAGAGTAGGACTGGAATCTATATCATATCTCTCAATCGAAAAAGGTGTACGACAGGGTTGTGTTCTGTCACCCCTCCTTTTCAATCTTTACTCTGAAACGATTTTCGATAGAGCCTTAAGTGGCTGTGAAGATGGAATCAAAATCAACAGACAGACTATTAGTAATCTTCGCTATGCTGATGATACACTCATAATAGCTAATAGCCAAGAAGCGCTACAACGACTAATAGATAGAATAAATACTGAAGGAGAACGACTGGGCTTGAAAATTAATATAGATAAGATGAACGTGGTTGGTAGAACACGAAATATGAAATTAAATATAAGAGTAAACAATAAGAACATCCAAAAGGTCCCAAAGTTCAGATATCTCGGTAGTTGGATAACTGAAGATCTAGATCCAGACATAGAGATACGTAGCAGGATTGAGCAAGCCAGAACAGCATTTACCAATATGAGAACCTTGCTAAGCAACAGCAGCCTCAACTTAACGCTTCGATATCGCTTTGTAAAATGTTACATTTACTCCATACTGCTATATGGTGTATAAACCTGGACTATAAAGGCCAATGTGATGAACCAATTGGAGGCCTTTGAAATGTGAGTATTTAGAAGACTACTTAAAATTCCCAGGACAGATCACACAACAAATGTCGAAGTATTAAATCGAATAAGTAGAGAACGAGAATTGCTGCCAATAATAAAAAGAAGAAAAACTGCTTATCTGGGTCATATATTTCGAAATTCGAAGTACCAGTTCTTAAAGCTTATTATGGAAGGAAAGATAAAAGGAAAACGGGGCATCTTAAGAAAGAAATACTCATGGCTCAAAAACATAAGGGATTGAACCAACCTCGATGCCCATGCACTTTTTAGAGCCACACAAGATCGAGAGGAGTATGCCAGAATTGTCGCCAACATCCACTAGTTGGAGAGGGCACTATAAGAAGAATATTGTACTCAGATACGTGTGGTGAACTAAACTTCAGTAGAAGCCAATGCAAATGTTTTGTTCATCCCTTACAAAACTTCTTAAGAGGATGGAGTCGTTTTAGTACAATGACCGCTAGAATTTAGTATATTTGACCACACAAATTCAATAAGAAGTCTATCTAAATCTATTAGCACCAAATATTCCGGAGCCTTGCAACATCAATTGTGACTTACTAAAACAGCAAATTCGACAAGTGTAATCATTATAAATAAAGCATTGTAACACCACCATTTTTCAGTCTGACATTATTGTGACAATAATTTGATATTTGTATTAACCCTGGAACCTCATACTTGGGTGTGAGATACCCATCGAGACACTTAACTGAATGTAGCATGCGCGAATCGCATTTCAATGTTACTACCGCTTCATGTAAATTCAGTCTGTAGTCTGCCAAGGACAAGTTTGTATTTGCTGTCTCGTTTGAGCGACATTTCCGATCACGAGAATTTATTGAATAAGTGCTAGGGTATGTAGCACCCATGTGTGAGGTTTCCGATAATTTATTAATTTTTCTTATAATTATTTTTTAGTGAAATGGCTTTATGTGACTGGAAAGAAAACTGGGAAAAACGTCGTCCGTTGACCCAAGCTGAACTGGAAAGGGAAGCTGAACATTTATTTGATAATGAAAACAACGAGGATAATGGTGAAAATACCTTTGGTACCGATTCTGAATCTGAGGAGGATTATGTCGAAGAACAAAACTCCAATACCGACATTGATGAAAGTGAACAAAGTGATAGTGAAAACAGATCATGAACCAGTGAGAAATGTTGCAAGTTTACTTGGAAAAAACGGGCATCGTTGGTCTACAGAACAGTCCTCAAGGCGTGGTCGTACAACAGCCGCAAATCTTGTAATACGTTTACCGGGCGGCAAAGGAAATGCCAGGATACTTCAGTCTCCTGAAGAAGCCTGGAACTTACTATTTAATGAAGAAATCATTCGCAAACGTGAAAGTATCACAGCGCAAAGTTACACCAAATTGACAAATAAAATAGAAGTTAAAGCCTTCATTGGGTTATTGTTTCGTACGTGTTTCTAACTCTAGTGTTGATGAACTTTGGTCCCTACAATTTGGAAATGGAATATTTCGTGCTACGATGTCGCAGCAGAGGTTTGCATTTCTAGCTGTATGCCTAAGGTTTGATGATAAAAATACAAGAGCAACAAGAAAAGCAGCGGATAAATTTGCACCCATACACGAATTATGGGAAATCTTTATAAGCAACTGTACATCATACTACACCCCTTTTCAGCTTTGTACTATCGATGAACAGCTCGTGGGATTCAGGGGGAAATGCCCATTTAAAATCTATATGATTAGTAAGCCCGACAAATATGGAATAAAGATAATGATGATGAATGACTCTAAAACATTTTATATGATTAACGCTATTCCATATATTGGAAAAGTCCAAACACAGGATAAGGAATCAGTACCAGCTTTTTACGTTCGGAAATTGTCGGAACCAATACATGGAACCAACAGAAATATAACAGTAGATAATTAGTTTACTTCAATACCTCTTGCTGATGAATGAGACAATTCAAACTAACTATCTTGGGTACAGTAAGAAAAAATAAACGAGAAATTCCACCGTCTTTTCTCAGTAAAAAAGCAGTAGGTACATCATTATTTGCATTCGACGAAAATAAAACTATCATCTCATACACTCCAAATCCCAAAAAAGTGGTTCTCTTGCTGTCAACATTACATCATGATAATTCGTTAAATGCTAATACAGGAAAACCAAACCTTATACACACCTATAATGAATGAAAAGGAGGTACAGATATGTTCGATCAATTATGCCATTCTTATACTACATCACGAAAATGCAGACGATGGCCACTAAGAATTTTTTTTAACATGCTTGATGCAAGTGGCATAAATGCAATGGTGCTATTTTCTCTCGCAAATACCCATTGGAAAGAAACTGCATCTAATAATAGAAAATCTTTTCTGAAGTCTTTGGGAATGGCTTTAATTGAACCACTTATGCGAGAGAGACTTCAAATACCTTCTTTACCGAAATCACTCAGGCAATCCATTTGTGGCATTCTCCAAGTTGAAGACCTTCCAACACAACATCCCATAAGTTTAGTGAAGCAAACTAGGTGTTATCTCTGCAAAAGAAAAGATAGAAAAACGAAGCATGCATACTCGGCTTGCCATAAAGCATACTGCATGGAGCATAGAGCTAAACTGTGTTGTGAATGCAGTCACCAAAATGAGTGAAATTGAAATACCTGGCTAAGAATGATTATGAGTTCTATAATCAAAAGGTGTTAGATTTTAGTTAGAAAGACCATTTTGTTGTTATATTTAGGTAAAATATTTTCAATTAGGTTTCTGGTTTTTTAGAAAATGTTTGTTAAATATTTTTAAACATTTTTAATATTTTTTTCTTTTGTATTACTACAATTAAGAGAGAGAAAATAAAATGATTGATTTAATGATTCTTGTGTATTCAATAGTGACTAGACAGTCTCAGGAGATCATAAAATATTTACTTTTTTATTTATTTATTCACAAAAAATCAATGGGTATCTGATACCCATATGTGAGGTGTATGTAAAAAAAAATAGGTGACAGTCTGTCTGTCTGACAGTCTGACAGTGTACTTATTTGTATTTGAAGTCCGAATAATATATTTTTGAATTTTAACTAAAATTTTTGCTAGTATAAATACGAGTATATATTGAGTATTTGTGCTTTTTAAAAAAGTATTTTTCAAAAGAACATTTATAATTAATGTAACGCTTACCTTGACACTGAAATCCTTGTTTTCCAAATCCCCTGTAACAAGAAAGAAATACTTGTTTTATTTTTTCCAGTCTTTTATGCATTTTACAAATTAAAGAATAAATATGTAATAAATAAGTTATAAGTACGACACAATCACAGTAGTAATACAGATCAACTAACACTTCTGGTTAAGTTCTATACGCTGAAATGAGTCTTTAATTTATCTTGGATCTGACTAGTCAAATCAGGTTTAAATCAGATGTAATAAAAGTACAATAAAAAAGAGATTATTCTCGGTGGCAATTGTTTTCGGTTTAAAGTTACATATATAAAATATCGACGTTGATATACTAAATAGTAATAATAAAAATACTAGACGGAGACAATTATTTTACAATATACAACTATTGTTTTAATGTACGTCAGTGCATATTTTTGAGCGTGAACATTGTGATAAACGTTAAATAAGCTGCAACTAAGATTCGCCAGATTATCCACCGTAGATCTACAGACCGTATTGAAACACAACGAAAAAACAACTGCTCAACTAACCAAAAATGAATTTTAGCTAGCCCCTTGATTTTATAAACCAAGAATTATCCGAGAAGATATAAAAATTAAAAAAAAGCAGAATTGTGTCAATAAAAGAGACGATGGCATACTTCTTTTTCTTCTTGAAGTGCCTATCCATTTCAGATGTTGGCGACCATCATGGCAATCTGCACTTTGCACACTGCTGCTCTAAAAAGATTTGTGGTTGTTGTGTTGAACCATGTTCGTAGATTTTTCAGCCAGGAAATTCTTCGCCTTCCTGGTCCCCGTGTTCCTTCTACTTTTCCCTGCAAGATTAGTTGCAGCAGTCCATATCTTTCGCTGTTCCCATGATGTGACCCAAGTATTCGATTTTGGCTATTTTTATTGTGGTTAACAGCTCTTTTTTTTTCATTCTCAACAGAACACCCTCATTAGTAACGTGGTCGGTATACAATATCTTTAGGATTCGACGATAAAGCCACATTTCAAAAGTCTCAATTTTCTTGCAGTTGGCGTCTGTGAGAGTCCACGACTCAACTCCGTACAACAGTGTAGGAAAGATGTAACATCGTAGTGACCTGATTTTTATGGACATTGATAAATCATGACATTTAAATATTTTAGCCATTTTTTGAAATGCAGATCTTGCTTTCTCTATTCTACATTTGATTTCTATGGAATGGTCCCAATTTTCATTGGCGTTCGTACCAAGGTAGGTCTATGTTTTTACTCTTTCTATTTGTTGACCGTTTACACTGATTTGTCCAAATTGCTGTTCTTTCTTAGAGCTTAGAGCTTAGAGTTTCATGCATTTTGTTTTCTTAGCGTTTAGTGAAAGTCCGTATCTCTGATTGACCTCTGTGATTCTGTTCATTAACTCCTGGAGGGTTTCAGAACTGTCAGCGAATACTACCGTGTCGTCAGCATATCTAATATTATTGATAGATTCTCCGTTGATTCGAATTCCGGCTTCAACATCACCCACTGCTTCTTGAAAGATTTCCTCAGAGTATATGTTAAACAACAGTGGTGATAGGTTATATCCCTGACGGACGCCACGTTTGGTTTTGGTATCGTCGGATTCTCCTGCCTCTGTCCGGATAGATGATGTTTGATTCCAGTACAGATTGCTGACAATTCTTAAATCACAGGTGTTTATTCCAATATTGGTTAATATCTCCATCAGCTTGTCGTGCTTTACTGTATCGAACGCTTTATAGTAGTCAATGAAGCACGCATAAATGTCGCAGTTTACGTCTCTACATCGTTGAAATAGCAAAATCTAGTCTCTACATCGTTGAAATGGCATACGGTTACCTTTAACATGGAGACCTCTTAGTCATCTGTTCCCACTAGCAGTAATGCATGGGTTAGTGATCGGTGTAGTAATGTCTGAGGACTCGGGAGACTAAGATCTTGGAATCCCTAAAGAAGACAAGAGGATGTTGACAGCTCGAAGATAGAAGCTAGAAGACTGTTGAGTTTAATACTAATACTTGTAATAGTATTGATCTTAGCTCTAGGCTTAATTGTACACAGCCGAGAGAACAAGCTGGCCTCAGAAGTGGATTCTGTACCAAAAATCATATTCATACACTTCGAGAACTAGTGAGTAGAGCTAAAGAATATCAAATATGAATGAATTACACTGTGGTATCTAAGAGGCGTCAAGAGACCAAGAAGCAATGACAAGGTCAGTGCAAATCGAAGCTGACAAATGTGTCGAATTCTTTAAGTTTTAAGCCAACGAAACGACCCAGTTTTCTATTACCTATAATGGAAGATTCTAGTCCTTTGAACACGCTTTCTATTGGTGGTTTTACTGGGACAGGTAATCATTATATATTTATATTTTAGCAATAGTGTACTATTTTTATTCTCATTTCAGCTATTCAGGATATCAAAAAAGTTTCGGAATAATTTACCTAGTTAACGTGGCGTAGGCGATCAATCCGCTTGCACATAAACGAAGTAGCTTTCCAAGGAGATGCACGGTTGACATCATCAATAAAAAAACTAAAAACACCAATAGAACTCTTTTGTAGACTAACAACTTCAACATGGAGTCATATGTCGCCATGTTACCTAATCCAACGGTAACTTTAACATCCTAAACCATTATAAGGAAATTTGTAAACTAAATGTAATTAATTATTTGTTAACGGGTTTTTACCCATGTATTTAGTGGCTACATTCATGTACTCTTAGACACTGATGATGGAATATGGATTCCGAAAACGTTTTGTCTTTTTAACTTAGCCCGTTTGGGTCTAAATATATACCTTTTACAAAGGATTTTTAATATTTTATTTAATATATTGTTACGATTTTAAATGTTATGGCATATAGAACTGTAAATATTTTATGACTAATTCTTTTTTATTGATTCTCGTAATTTGTAGGTCAAAATCTACCTGAGCTTCGATACCAGTTGTTTACAGAAATATCTAGACCCTAATTTTGATGAGTCATCCACGACTCGAGCAGTTAAAAAAACTAGTTTTAACCGTTGGTCGCCTTCACCAAAATACGAGATCATTCCAGTATTTTCGACAAGGGTCAGGTCAGGTCTAGGCGGTCTTACGGTTCTTTATATAAGGACGAAATTTTATTGAAGGAGTCAGTCATAAGAAGATCGGGGAACGCGGTTTACTTGTAACGAAACGAAAATAAATTATTTGTAATATAAATTAGGATTAATAAAGACTTTAATAAATTCGTAATTAGTTATCGTGAGTTTTAATAAATTAGAATATAGACAGTAAATTAGAATAAAGACCAATAAATTAGAACAATATAAATGTATACAACAATATGATATACAGCCAACTACAGGAACGTAGATTCCTTGTGGATTATTAATTGATTAATTAATTGGCTGGTGCACTTTAGACTTTTAATATTACATTAATATATATATAATATATATATATATATATATATATATATATATATATATATATATATATATATATAACGTGCAAAAGAGACAAAAAGTTTTCTATGTTTAGCAGACAATTTTAATTTATAAAATTTTAATATTTTACCTTCTTTCTGTTGTCTATTCTAAAGAATAAAACGAGCAACCCTTGACATCCAATTTTCAGCATGGCCTTAAAGCCATTCAGAAGAAAAATGCCGGAAACGTGACAGTTTTACTCAAAAGTTAATCGGTCATCGGTTCTAGTATTTTCCGTTTCCCAGCGGGAAAGTGCCCTTTCAGAAAAAACTCGTTCTGTCGGGATTTTCAATAAGTCTGCCTATTTTTTCGTGTAAGTAGAAATATTTTGGAAATATATTTGAATATTTCATAACGTTTGTGGCAGATGTTGTAGTGATTTAACAAATATTGGCTTGTTCATCAGTAGCGCACATTAAATAATTTAACAGGTCGAAAGAAAATGCAAAAAAGTATTTTTGAAGTGTGTATATTTTAGGCAATTCCTAGCTGAGCGCTTTCGGCTTTACAAAGCCATCATCAGAGCTATGGTCAATTTTTTAAATACCACTAGCTCTGAAAATTGACCATAAAAAAAATATATATTGACCATAGCTCTGATGATGGCTTTGTAAAGCCGAAAGCGCTCAGCTAGGAATTGCCTAAAATATACACACTTCAAAAATACTTTTTTGCATTTTCTTTCGACTTCTCATAAGTGTGTACAAAAAAATATCAGTCTTTTGATTAATAATTTAACAGTATTATTAAACGTTACCCCAATATTGGATATATATATATATATATATATATATATATATATATATATATATATATATATTTTATTTAAACACAAAACCATATCAACCGCGTAGGAATATTAGTGGAATATAACAAATACAAGAAATATTACATTAAATACAATTGAATAACTTGAGGTGTTTTAAATAGCTTAACATTGTTGAATTTTTTTTGGTAAGAACTGTTTTGAGATTATCATCTGTGAATCAGTGGGATCTTTTTTTTTTCATGAATTGAGGACAATCAAGCAGGATATGTTTGAAGTTTGACGGTCAGTGGAATAGAGCAGCGGAGCAGATAGGTAGTGGTTCTTTTGTTATTAATTATTATTATATAAGCATTATTGCCAATTCTTAGACTGTTAATAATAACTTGGTTTCTTCTGTTTGAATGAGTCTCCAGGATAGCATTTATGTTTGGGCAAATTACATTTAATTTTGTACTTAATTTTTCCCAATGATTTTGCCATGTATTAGTACAGTGGATTTTAACCAGCTTCTTTAAATCAGTTGATCTGCTTTTTTATTTCTGTAAATACCTGTATTTGAAGGTACCCAAATAAAAGCCGCTTCCTTTCCTAATGATTGGAATGTTTCTAGTTCATTTTTTATAGTCTGTATAATAGGGTTGTTGGTATACATTTATTTCAATACCAGTAATGTATCTAATGAGATGCAAAGATATGCTTTGTTCGGCTTGATTGTGCTGGCTCAGAGATGCATGGACATAAATTAGGACAAGTACTTATGTTTTGTAGACTTTGAAAAGACATTTGATA